CTGATGCTCTCGAATTTTCCTTCTCTTCTCGTATATATATATATATATATATATATATATATATATATATATCCTCTGAAAAATATTGGTATTTGAGTGTACAGGCCGGTAAACATAGTGCACACTGTTTCAAGTTGACACGGGAATTCTATTTCAAATACGGCTATCCACTAAACATAACGTTTTGAGTACTAAAATATATGCATGTATGTATAAAAGTGTACGTATGCCAAAAATCTTTGTATGTATGTATGGGGTTTTATCAAAACATATTGAGGCATGTGCTATAAAAAGAAAACTACAACACATATCAGTTCTGTATTTAATCTCTGTTGGGGCGCACCCACCTTCTAACTAGAAATGGACTGGTCCCTCTTATATAAGTCAGCTCGAGAGAGAGGACGAGAGAGCGTCAGCAGTCCAGATAAGCTTACCCGGTACATACCGTTGGACTATAGACTTTGGATATTGTTTCGTACTAACCAACCTTCGTTCTACTAATCACTCTATTGTTAATTGCTTTTATGAATATACCAGTATTTTCCTCTACAACTGTGTTTGTCTTGATTCATACACCGACACGCGGGAAACTCACAACATCTCAACAATCTCCTTCGAAGTAGTCCACTTCTAAATCTACACATTTTATCCAGCGTTGTTTCCATTGATGAAAGCATTCCTGGAACTCCCTTTTCTTTATTTCTTTTTTTTTTTTTTTTTTTTTTTTGAATAGCGAGAATCCCTCTCGTTTCATTCTCTTGGATTTCATCGAGGTCTTGAAATTTATTTCTTTTTAAGGTGGATTTGATTTTTGATCAAGTCGCATGGGGCGAAATCTGGGGAATATGGTCGTTGTCAAAACTGGCAAATGATGTCATTGACCGAAAATTGTTGAACAAACCATGATCACTGATGGAATTTCTGCGCTGTGGTGAGACGACTACACTCTACACACTTTCCTTCCAAGCACTCATATAAATAACGGGAGTGAGCGAGAGCGTTCTAACTGTTGGCTCAACAGAGTTCAAGGTCAATTTGTACCAAAAAGTTCCACTATACCTACTTTTGCTCTCTGACCATAGAACCAGTCTAGATAGTTTTTTTTAATCACACCTCCTATGTATAAACTTCATACGGCTTTCTAGAGAGAAAAACCTTAAGCAAGCACAATTTTATATTTTAAGTGCAATGTCTGTAAGGCCGGAAATAGGTAAGTCGTTATTAGACGCGTGGTCATCTAGTAGCCTGTATCACATTTTTAAGAAAATAATAATTCCTATTATTGCGACTGACTTTAAATTTAGCTGAATGTAATAAATAAATACAGTATCCGAGGGTAAGTCAAGCTTTGGTAACAAAGAAAAAAAAAGAATACTGAGCTGTCACGTGACATCTGTCCTTCTTTACGGCAGCGAATGTTGGACGATTTCCTCAAAGATGAAGAAGAGGCTCGAGGCAACAGAGATGTGGTTCTACAGAATGATGCTAAGGATATCATGGACCGAGCGTGTGAGCAACGATGAGGTCTTGGAGAGGATGCAGACAGAGAGGAGGCTTATACTTAACATCAGGAAGAGGCAGCAGAAGTTTCTAGGAAACATAATAAGGAAGGAGGGTCTGGAGAATCTGATACTCACGGGTCGAATAGAGGGAAAGAGAGACAAGGAAAAGCAGCGCTTGATATTGTTGTGGAGTAGTTTTCACAGTAGAGGCTTGTATTTCAATGAGTCGTCCTAAATTAGGTTCGACGTACAAAACGTTAGGAACTTGGAAAATAAGAGTTAATGACGCAGCAATCTAGTTGTGATTGTTGGTACTTCAATGTCCGATATCGTCTGACTCGCTCACACCACTGAGCCGCCTTGGCTTCCGCTACTGCTACTTATTGTCTATGGGAGTGTCTATTACAATAGAATAGTTACTATGGCATAACAGATATACCTGGCGGGCTTGAGCAACTGGATGACAGAACGTGGATGCAGAGGGAAGGAACATGTTGAGACTTGCCAGGTATGGATGGAGGTGAATGTACATGGCGCATAAAAAGAAAGTTTTTCGTAATTTGTCTTGCTTTTAAATGTTTTTGTTTACCTAAAGTCTTATATATTTAAAAAGCCGTTAATATTTTAGAGCTTCTAAAATACGTAATGTGTATAGAGTGTGTCGTAGTGGAGGAGCTTGCGCGTCATGAGGGAACCTGAAAGAAATGCCGTCGGGTTCTCCATCTCCTGGTAGGGTCACCTATGGCAGTAAGGATTTAGGGAAGGAACCAGACTAAGCATGATCCGACGCCCGGCGTGGAGGCGATCAAGATGACGTTCTACGTACGAGAACAAATCGGCAGATCTATGCAAGCTGTCATCGTGAACCTGCCTGTCAAGCCCTGGTTTGCCGAATCGGATGCTGTCGACTGAAGTGTGTGTGCCATCGAGTTATAACCCATGGACCACTTGAAACAATTCGCATCCAATGCTATCATGCTTAAAGACTTTACTTCTTCTTACGTCTAAAGAGAAGAGCAGCCCTTCGAGAAAAACAGAAAACGAATAGAAGAGACGTGGAGACGGCAAAGAAAAGCCAGAACTCTGAACCATCCGACCCTAGCATGCGGTGGCTGTGGACCTCTCTTTAGATCCAACACAGGACTCATTTCACACAGAAGGGAATGTCTATGAGCACCCGAATACTCGGCAACGAGTTCCGCCAATGACAATGTTATGTAGTCGAGCCGATTTCCTTTGGTTTCCTTATGCTTTTCTTTTTTAGAGAAGAGCAGTTCACAAAGAAAATAAGATCCTTCGAGAAAACCAGAAGACGAATAGAAAAGACGAGGAGAGGCCAAAGAAAAGCCAGATCTCCATCACCTGAACCCTCTTACCCTCTTACCCTAACATGCAGTGTCTTCGGGCGTCTCATCAGGTCCAACATAGAAGTCATTCTACACAGAAGGAAATGTCGATGAGCAGCCTAATACTCGGCAACGAGTTCCGCAAACGACGTTCAAAGTATACATAGACGCTGTTAATTGACTGTCATCGTGCACAACATTCTCTGATTGGTCAGTGTAAAATTACAAAATTATTAAATAACGTTCAATCCTAAACTTCAAAATTTAACATGTCCGTGTACGATTACCGCAGTTAAGCAACCTCGATCCTGTTCAATACATAGAGGGGAATGTTATTTTCATTTGTACCCCCTTACTTCTTAAAATAGCCACCACCATTCATATTTATGATTCTTATTGCAATATTTTATTAAAGTTGTTAAGCACAAATATTTAACGATGCGATAGGGGAATTTCTACGGATATTTTATTTTTTGTAGTTTATTCAATCATTAACTTAAGAATTAAGATTCATCAGAATATATAAAACAAGAAAACCGTGACATTTTCAAGGGTTTTTCTAGTATACCTAATTTGTAGTATATATTTTGAAAGTTTAACTAATTCGTTCTTCAGTCATTCCTGCAAATAAACCTGCTTACGGCCATGTCACGTTGAAACACTGGTTCGTTTCCGATCACGGGCGTTATGCAACGTGAAAACTGGTAAGTACCTTGATGAGTGACCGCTTGGGGATGCCAGCTGCTGTAAGCTTAGATGTGAGGGTGGTGTAATGGATGATGGCTTGGAATTGTTAATCGGAGAGCCGGGTTCCAATTCCAGTTACACACAAGTACCCCGAGAGCGATATGAATTAATTAGTAAGACTTGTATCACTAAATCTGTATTATCTCAAAAATAAAAAAAATTCTTAAAGTCTTAAATTATTTTCTGGCTTTAAATAACCTGCAATGGGTTGATAAGCCGAATAAAACAAACCAGTCAATCAATGAAATACTGATTAGCTACACAGGCATGATTTACTTACATTCTCTGGAATATAAATGTATAGAAACTAGTGTGGATACAAAATGAGGGTTCTGTTTATATAAAGATTGTAACATAGAATTGATCCCCCACTTTATAACCACATTATAATTTCTTGTTTATCAAATTATGATTAGATATGAATCCACCTCTTCTCGCCCCATCTAAAGGTTAAATAGACATATCTAATCATTATTATCTCAAAATTAAAATTCTTACAATCTACAAATATTTTCTGGCTTTAAATAACCTGCAAAGGGTTGATAGGCTATAGAAAACTAATCATTTATTTTTATGCGCTATTTCCATTCAGCATGTAGACGATCATGGCTCTCCACAATTTCCTATTACTTCTACTTTTTAGTAATGTTTGTCTTTTTGCCACCCCCGTCATCGAGGTGAGTCTTTGTTTTACCCTGTCTTTTTTTATTCGATATGCCTTTTGAGTGTTATATTTTCCCATTTTCCATTATATAATTATGCGTCTAAGACATTTCAGCTGGCTCTTTCAGATTCTGAGTATAAGTGTCTTTTTTTGTTTTCATTTTCCTTAAAATTTAGTCTTGTCTACGTGCTCAGTATCCTTCTGTAGAACCACATTTCTGTTGCTTCCAGGCTTCTCTTCATCTGTGAGAAGACAGTCCAGCATTATTACTCTTAATAAAATAAATGTATTGCTGATTAGAACTTGTCGATATCGTTTAAGACACTTTACTGTTTTACGTAGAAATCGCATTTAATAACCTTCGGATATTTTCTTTAAGGAAAACTGTGTTTGTTATGATATAAAAAACAATAATTGTCACAAAGTTTTCTTAAACTCCTCTTCGGGCAATATTCCGAAAATATGACATAAAGATATTTCGGCACTTCGATCATTGAACCAATACTTATTCTTAAATTAATGATTGATTTTCAAGGATACTAGACGAATCCGTGTCTATGCATAGATATTTTGATTCTTTTTCGGGATTTTCTTCTTTTGATTATTTTTTTTTATTTTATTTTATATTTTTTTTATTTTATTTTCGTTCCATTTTTCTCCCTTCCTTGCTATTCTTTATCATAATGTTATCCTCATTAAAACAACAGCCGTTCGTCTACTCTGGTAGTGAGATGTTGTTGCCTAGCAACACTGATTTGTTCTTGAATTAATGCCATCTGGAAGCTGCCGATCAAGCCGAATAAAAGCATCAGGGATGGTGGGAATATCGATCACTTCCATGAAAAGAAAGAAAGAAAGAAAGCAAGAAAGAAAGAAAGAAAGAAAGAAAGAACTAGCGAGAAGGAAAAAAGGAGGAAGACAGATAGGTTCATAATCAAAAGAAAGAAAAAATCTTAAAGAAAGAAAGAAAGAATGAAAGAAAGTAAACAGTGATTTAAAGAGAGATTGACGGAAAGGTAAATTGATTTTTAACAAAATGTCATTATGAAAGGAGAAAGAAAACTATCAAGTTAAGAAAGAAAGAAAGAAAGAAAGGACAGGGGTCAAATGAAGAGAACAAATGGACTGATAAAAAGAAAAGAAACTGTCAGAAGAAAGAAAGAAAGAAAGAAAGAAAGAAAGAAAGAAAGAAAGAAAGAAAGAAAAGCCCGTGGCAAATAGAAAGAAAGAAAGAAAGAAAGAAAGAAAGAAAGAAAGAAAGAAAGAAGGGCCAGAGGTTAAAGGAAGAGAACAAATGGACTGAAAAGAAAGAAAGAAAGAAAGAAAAGAAAGAAAAAGAAAGAAAAGCCCGTGGCAAATAGAAAAAAGAAAGAAAGAAAGAAAGAAAGAAAGAAAGAAAGGCCAGAAGGCCAGAGGTTTAAGGAAGAGAACAAATGGACTGAAAAGAAAGAAAGAAAGAAAGAAAGAAAAGAAAGAAAAAGAAAGAAAGAAAGAAAGAAAGAAAAGCCCGTGGCAAATAGAAAGAAAGAAAGAAAGAAAGAAAGAAAGAAAGAAAGAAAGAAAGAAAGAAAAGCCCGTGGCAAATAGAAAGAAAGAAAGAAAGAAAGAACGAAAGAAAGAAAGAAAGAAAGAAAGAAGGGCCAGAGGTTAAAGGAAGAGAACAAATGGACTGAAAAGAAAGAAAGAAAGAAAGAAAGAAAGAAAGAAAGAAAGAAAGAAAGAAAGAAAGAAAAGCCCGTGGCAAATAGAAAGAAAGAAAGAAAGAACGAAAGAAAGAAAGAAAGAAAGAAGGGCCAGAGGTGAAAAGAAGAGAACAAATGGACTGAAAAGAAAGAAAGAAAGAAAGAAAGAAAGAAAGAAAGAAAGAAAGAAAGAAAGAAAAGCCCGTGGCAAATAGAAAGAAAGAAAGAAAGAAAGAAAGAAAGAAAGAAAGAAAGAGAAATTGTAGGAAAGCAAGAATAAACAAAAATCAGGACGTAAAAAAAGAACGGAAATTTAACAAAGAACATCTAAAAAGGAATGAATGAGCAAAAACGAAAGTAAATATAATAAAGAAAAAATAGAAACTGCAGAGACGAATGAAAACAAAAAAGAATGTCATTAGATGAATAAGACCCTTTGAATTCCAAAAGAGACAAGTTTAAAAAGGGAAAGTACCCAGGTACGTGTTGAATAACTAGTTTCGGCAAAAGAGACAGCAAATCGCAAAAGAATGACAAAAAAGTAACAATGTTCTACTCAGCGTTGTCTGTGCTGCTTGTCGAAAAAGTTGAACAAAGACGCATTTCCTTATTTCTTGCTCATACAGCAATGATTTGGTGAAACACTTTTAAAGACAATGTCCATATTCAGAAAGAAAAGGTTTCAGTTTCACTGCTTCAAATAATCAGTTTCATTTTCTTCGAAATAATCTTCTAAAAAAAACAGAAAGATACACACATAGATACATAGGTAGATAGATATGAACAAACTGAAATATATTGATATACAGACCCATAGACAGAAATGAAAATACTACCATATATAATTATCAATAAACTAACAAAGATAGATTTGAACAGACAGAGATAGATAGACAGATAGACAGATAGATAGATGGATAATGTAGAAACTGAAATAGATTGATATACAGACTGTCATAGACAGAAATGAAAATATTACTATATATAAATATCAATAAACTAACAAAGATAGATAAATATGAACAGACTGAAATAGATAGATAGATAGATAGATAGATAGATAGATAGATAGATAGATAGATAGATAGATAGGAAGAGAGGCTGAGATATGAAGAGAGACTGAGATAGATAGATAGATAGATAGATAGATAGATAGATAGATAGATAGATAGATAGATAGATATTGGAGAGACTTGTTTTAGCTTTACAAGTGTCAGTTCAGCCCAAAATTGAATATTGTGCCATAACTGAAGCTGACCAATACTCTGTTTCCAGGTTTGGTAATGTCCAAGGAGATGTTAATTGTTTGATCAGTAAGTGAAACAAAATAAAAACTTTTAATTAAATTACTGAAGCTAATTGTCCACTTCTGATCAACTATCGTAACGTGATAGAAACGTTTAATGATGCCCATCGGTGTTGCCTGTCATAAGATTAATCATTGGTTTACGACCAAGATCCATTTAATTACGTAGGTTCAATTTTACTAATAAGAAGACTGATATTAGTGTCACTTTAATTCGCTTTCAACACACCCAAGAATTTACTTTATTCTACAAGCATAGCAGAGTACTGACAACGATGTGAAAATTCGCATAACTAAAGCCTGTACAGCTTTGAATAAAATGGATGTAACCTGGAGATGTGATCAACCAAACGACCTCAAACAGAGATTCTATCGAGCCACTGAAAAGACGGTGTTAATGTATGGTGCCACTTCTTGGATATTAACTTGATTCTACTCGAGATGGAACCTAGACTCGGAATCTAGACATAGATTCTGAGAATCCTAACATCTGTTGGAGACAACATCCAACTAAATGACAGTTCGATGGATCAATCCTTGAAATTTCTACAATCTTACGCGAACGCAGAATGCGTTTTGCAGGACACTGGTGGCGTGCAAAACAAGAACTTGTGAGTGATCTACTCCTCTAGACAGCTAGCGATGGGGTAAAACAGGTTGGTCGCTTAGCAACCACCTACATTGAGCTGCAATGTTCTGACACAAGATGCCACTCAAATGACCTTCCAATCTTGATGCAGGACCGTAGTGGTTGACGTGATAGAATCATGTATGTCTGAGATAGCTCAGCAAATAAATAATGAAATAAGGGAACAAGGTTAAGATTGAATGTATGATTGTTTCGGCTGAGAGATCATCAAACAATAAATTATTTTCCAGCCTGCACCCCTTTTCCTACAGACGCGACATCACAAAGCCATCGTTACTCTATCCCTATTTCCATGAAAAATGTTCTAATTCGATCCATTCCTTTGTTCCTGTCACATCTCAGACACAACATGCTGTAAACGGGTGAACCCTTCTTCAATTTTTCTATTCCATTCCGACTGCTTCATCTCAAGAACCGTTTCTTTGTAGAACAAACTCCTCAGAGAATGTTTTCTCAACCACTACAATCTTCTTCAAGTTTAGGAGATGTCGTTATCTATCTTAAAGGAGTGCAGAATTAAATTAAACTCGGCATTAATTTCAACTCGGAACTAAGGATTAGGGTTAGCGGTTAGGGTTAGGGTTTTTTATATCGAGTTGAAATTAGTTTCGAGGTGAAATTAGTTTCGAGGTGAAATTAGTTCCGAGTTGAAATTAGTTTCGAGGTGAAATTAGTTCCGAGTTGAAATTAGTTTCGAGGTGAAATTAGTTTCGAGGTGAAATTAGTTCCGAGTTGAAATTAGTTTCGAGGTGAAATTAGTTCCGAGTTGAAATTAGTTTCGAGGTGAAATTAGTTCCGAGTTGAAATTAGTTCCGAGTTGAAATTAGTTCCGAGGTGAAATTAGTTCCGAGTTGAAATTACTTTCGAGGTGAAATTGGTTTTGAGGTGAAATTAGTTCCGAGATGAAATTAGTTTCGAGGGGAAATTAGTTTCGAGGTGAAATTAGTTCCGAGTTGAAATTAGTTTCGAGGTGAAATTAGTTCCGAGTTGAAATTAGTTTCGAGAGGAAATTAGTTTTGAGGTGAAATTAGTTCCGAGGTGAAATTAGTTCCGAGTTGAAATTAGTTCCGAGGTGAAATTAGTTTCATTGTGAAATTAGTTTCGAGTTGAAATTAGTTTCGAGGTGAAATTAGTTTTGAGGTGAAATTACTTCCGAGTTGAAATTAGTTCCTAGTTGAAATTAGTTTCGAGTTGAAATTAGTTCTGTCACTTATCTGAAATATTCTCATAATCAACAATCCTTACTTTCTTCTCTTACGTCTATAAAACAAGCATTTTCAGTAACATTGTATTTTGAGTTGCTCTTGAGCCCTGAGAGATAAAAGTAGTGTCCTGTTTGGTCAACGTTCAGTCCTTTAATGTTTAGACTGGAGTGACCTCTCTTAGACGCGGGCCTGAGCGATGGTATATTAAAGCTGTACACTGCCCAGACTACATGCCACCTTCTCAGGCATACCGACAACATCCAAAGGAATACAGTGTATTACATTTGGGGACGGCTTGGCTGCAGGAACTGCCGGAAAGTCGTCAGTATTGACAGTCAACAGCCTTCGGTACTCCACTTCAGTTTTCTGGATTTACTTACATAACCTTTTCCATGTTTGGTTGTGACCGCAGCACAGCATAGGGTTAAAATTAGGATTTTCCTTCCCCTAGATGGACTGCCTTCCATGGCTGTTAAGTTCCATATACCCGAAGCAGCTGTGTATGAGGCGCTAGTATTCTGTGAAAAATATCGTAAAAATCATTAACACTTCGTAGAAAGACATGATCAGTTTGACAAAGTGACCAAAACATTGGAACTTTTCTAGAATCTTCCAGGGTGCTTCTCTATTATCCTTGTCAAAGTTTATACAACGAGGACCTATTGTTACGGTTTTTTGTGTATATGTTGTATATAACTAGTGAGCGAGTCAAAATGACTTAATTCCCTTTACAGTCTACCAATAGAAGATTAACCAATCAGGAGCCGCAGAACACTGTATCCGTCGTGTATAAAGGCGGCCATCTTTGTTTTCCTACCGGAATGACCAGAGCCAACTTCTCAGGCGAACATGACAGACGGAAGAACTACGCTCTGCTACTTTGCTGAGATATCCACTGCTAACCTGAACTACGCTTTCCTACTGTCTCCGAAATATTCACTGCCAACCTCTGGATTCTATACTCAAGGACGACCGTCATGAAAAGAAGGACTTGCTGACCTTTATATCATTTCTTTTGTACTTGGTTTGCTGGAAAAAATCATTAACCTCTTCGCTGTAAGCGCACTTCGACTCTGGTAATATTGTATTAACCGTTTGAGCCCTAACCACCACTTCACTGGTAGTAGAGAAAAATGACTTAATGCCCAGCCACTGGTTGAACGGTGGGTATACACTTGCGTCGTGTTTTGTTATTGGTTGTCTTATTTGATTAGCCTGGGACACAAATAAAGAATTCTGGCGAGAAAGTGAAGGCATGCAATCATACTATCTCCCTGTTAAGTATAATGCTTATATTTTTGGTATCTATTTTTATATCTACCGTGAAACCTGACATCCTCCCACATTATACTAAATAAGGAGGATTGGTGGACATCGACCCTGTATAAAAATAGTCGTAGGAACAGGTCGATTTTTGTCCTTAGCCTATATATACGATCTCCCACATTAACCCTTTGAGCCTTGACCACCGATTTGGTAGAGAAAAATGACTTAATGCCCAGCCACCGGTTGAACAGTGGTAGAGAAAAATGACTTAATGCCCAGCCACCGGTTGAACGGTGTGTAAACAGTAGCGTCGTGTTTTGCTATTGGTTGTCTTATTTGGCTAGCGTGGGACTCAAAGAAAGAATTCTGGCGAGAAAGTGAAGGCAATCATAGTATAATGCTTATATTTTTGGTATCTATTTTTATATCTACCGTGAAACATGACATCCTCCCACATTATACTAAATAAGGAGGATTGGTGGATATCGACCCTGTATAAAAATAGTCGTAGGAACAGGTCGATTTTTGTCCTTAGCCTATATGTACGATCTCCCACATTAATCCTTTGAGCCCTGAACGGTGGGTAAACACTTGTAACTATTTTTATATCTACCGTAAAACATTGCATACCAATTATTTGCGGATTTTGACTTTGGAGCCTAGGCAGAAGGGTTAAAATTGTTCAGGAACACTGGGCTTAAAGGGTTAAGGATACCGTCATTCAGTCGTAAGAGAAGTATAACTTTCCAACAAAAATATAAGTATTTTTTAATCCTTTTACCCCGAGAAAGGCTGGAATGCCATCGTTTGAAATTGGACAAACAATTTTTCAAAGTAAATTCGAGATACTGAAAATTTATCTGATTTGTTTAATAACTTCAGATGGACTGTATGCTTATTTTGCAGGGATTTTCCCCCTCCATTAACCCTTTCAGTCCTGCGTTCCTGAACAATTTTAACCGTTCTGCCTGAGCTCCTGAGTCAAAATTTGCAAATAATTGCTTACTAGCAGTATAACCTGTCTTCGACCAAGTCTTTCATTACTGGGAATTTTTACCGTTCAATTGGAGCAGTTTAAGTTGAAGTCAGCCCTTCCGAAAATCAATATTAGTAACAACAATTGGGTGAAACTGAGGCACATGTCTAAATGGTGGGGTTAACAGTTTAAATGGAAGGTGGCTCTGAAAAGGAGCGTTTTTGTGTTCTCAATCTTGCAAGCAAGAGACGGTTTCCATGGACCGTCATAATAATAATATACGATAATTTTTATTTCTAATAATTTTTTTTATAATTATAATAATCTTTTGCGTTAGATTTCAACTTTCTAAATTGATTATACGCTGTTTTTGCAGACATGAAATTTTTTCCTTTGATTTTTGCGCAAAGTGTAAAAAAATATCTCCAAAACTTTGTGAATTTAGGAATTCATTTTTATTTCTTCAAAATGCCAAGGAATCATAATTAAAATGAGAGGTCTCGTGTCGTGTAGGTTTTGAAGATCCACAGAGTTTGTAATTTGAAGAACTCAATTTTCGGCCTGAATTGGAATTTCGGCTCAAATCGGTCTTTTGGTCGGTATTGAACTCATGTCCCGAAAGTGGATGTTGAAGTTCCATGGAGTGAATTGAGGAATTAAAAGTTATTTCTTCAAAATTATCCCTGATGTTTTATAAACTGGATGAGGGGTTATTTTAATCTTTGGCCGAAGCCCCAATTAGCCCATCCGCAGGAGCGAGCTGAAAAATCAGCACAGAGTGTGGCTTTTAAGCTAATATACGATAAAACACTTACCTGCTTGAGCATAGCCATTTCACTGTCACTAGACAATCATTTCATTGCCCGAGCGAAAGGAGAGGAATTGTCAATGTCAATGACTTAATATACTTAATAAAGAAGTGAGTCTATATTATAAAACATGGAGACCTAACTAGATATATAAAGTATTTTAGAGAAAAGGAAAAACATGAAATTATTCTGGCTGGTAATTA